AAAAGTGACAATACGAGAATTTAATAATTGACAAAATAAAAGAACCTAAAGATCGAGAAATCCGAAAGCCCGTAAGAATTAGAAAAATTGACGATCGAGAGGGAAACGGAAACAGTTTATTTCTCCTCGCAGACGACGTCTTAATTTAATAGCCACGCGCGTAAAAAGCGGAGGAACAATGGTGAGGGTGGTTGAAAGAGAAAAAAAAGAGCTGGTAAAGCGGTTCCTCTACGGTTAATGGGACGTGGATTAATTGCGGCAACAGCAGGATGCGTCTGGCGCGTATGCGGGTCGTGTAAATTGAAACAAGACGCTGTTTCGTGTACTGTTCGGTGTATTCGAATACGCAAAAATAGAACGCCCGGTAGGTGTACGGCTTCGAACTCCGGTGAAAGTATCGTGGTAATAAAACGAGCATAAACATTTTGGTTATTAACATAAGGGTTAAATGGTCCACGGCCTCGTGACTCGTTCGCGGCGCGATAGAGAGGCTGGCCGGATAAAGCGAGAGAAAAAAGAAAGATCGGTAGCGAGAGAAAGACAAAGAGAGAAAGGAGGCTCTGTACGTGCCATTCACAGGAACGGTACAGCAACCGACGAGAAGACAAGATATGCGGACGGACAGAAAGAGAGAGGAGAAAAATCAGTGAGCACGATAACGGACTATAATCTTACAGAGAAATAATTATTCGCGGTATATCCGATTCTAGTGGTTCGCCTTCGTTCCTGTGTACAACTGAAATCGTTACAAGTTTCACTCTTGCTTCACTCATTTTTTATCCTCGACTCCATTTGGCTACTTAACTACTGCTATTATCGTAATAACCAATTAGAAAAAACTTCAGGTTCTTCCTTAATCGTCCCTAGCCTAGGTTGTTTATAACCTAAAGCTTCTTCTAAGATTTTTCTAGACACCATTTATAAATTGACATACACAATTTTACGTGTTGCGATTCAAGGAGTTTCAATACCACGTGATCCAATTCGATAGATTTCTCAAGGAGCAAGAATCTCTACACTCTGTTGAGTTGCTTCAACAAGTATCTGGATTGTACCTAGAACTTTTGTGATACTTAAGCACCTTGCAAGGTCTCCTTCAGACTCACTCAGTATTTTCATAAATTCTAAGAGTTCTCTGAGATATCCCTAAATCTTCACTAGAACCTCTCTAGATTTTATTCAAAAATGTCCAAAAATCTTCTCAAGTTCTGATAGATAAGTTTCACTTCTCGATACCCCAAAAATTTGGTTTCCTTTGAGAGCACTCTACCTCGAGCTTTGACCGCGTAAATGAATAAGTGGAAGATAAAACGAAAGTGGAGTCCACTAAAAATATATGAATAGGAAGAGCGGCTGGAGAAGCGTGGAAAGAGAATTTAGAGGAGCAACGTGGAGATCGCGTATCTCGATACGTCCAAATTTAGGAGGCCGAAGTTCTCTTCAGGCTGGCGTGTTCCGGCGTTAGAACGCCGCCTACGTGATTTAAGCCTCGTTAACTCAGGACGAGCGTTAAATAAATCGTGACTGGTATGTATTTCTGTCTATAATACGGTTGGGTCTCGAAAATCGTGGATCGCGAACTGGATGCGCCGATTTACTGTCGCAATAAAACAATCGTTGTGTTTACAAAGGTAAAATTAATATTTGGTAGAGATATGGAGCGCGTGGAGATACAACGCGAGGAAGTATCACACGTGGAATTACTATTTATGGAAATACGACGCGTGGAGATATACGGCGCGTGGAAATACTATGCGTGGCGATACAACGCGTTGGAATACTATAAATGGGAATACCACGCGTGGAGATATAGGACGCATGGAAATACCACGCGTGGAGATATACGACAAGTGGAAATACCACGCGTAGTGATATAGGCCGCGTAGAAATACCACGCGTGGAGATTAGGACGCATGGAAGTACCACGCGTGGAAATATAGGGCGCATGGAAGTACCATGCGTGGAGATATAGGGCGCATGGAAGTACCATGCGTGGAGATATAGGGCGCATGGAAGTACCATGCGTGGAGATATAGGGCGCATGGAAGTACCATGCGTGGAGATATAGGGCGCATGGAAGTACCATGCGTGGAGATATAGGGCGCATGGAAGTACCATGCGTGGAGATATAGGGCGCATGGAAGTACCATGCGTGGAGATATAGGGCGCATGGAAGTACCATGCGTGGAGATATAGGGCGCATGGAAGTACCATGCGTGGAGATATAGGGCGCATGGAAGTACCATGCGTGGAGATATAGGGCGCATGGAAGTACCATGCGTGGAGATATAGGGCGCATGGAAGTACCATGCGTGGAGATATAGGGCGCATGGAAGTACCACGCGTGGTGATATAGGGCGTATGGAAGTACCACGCGTGGAAATACCACGCGTAGAGACATGGGGCGCGTGGAAATACTGTGCGTGGAAATATAGGGCGCGTGGAAACACCACGCGTGGAGATTAGGACGCATGGAAGTACCACGCGTGGAGATATAGGGCGCGTGGAAATACCACGCGTGGAAATACCACGCGTGGAGTAATAGGGCGCGTGGAAATACCACGCGTGAAAGTACCACGCATGGAGATATACGACGCGTGGAAATACCACACGTGGAGATATACAGCGTGTAGAAGTACCACGCGTGGAAATATAGAGTGCGTAGAAATACCACGCGTGGAAATATAGAGTGCATATAAATACCACGCGTAGAAATATAGAGCGCGTAGAAATACCATGCGTGGAGAAACAGCGCGTGGAAATATCACGCATGAAATTACTATAAATGGTAATACCACGCATAGAGATATACGCCGCGTTAGAGATATCGACCTAACCGATTTACTATCGCGATAAGACAATCGCTTTTGATGTCTACATCGAAGGTAAAATTAATATCCGGCAGAGAGTGAAACGCGCACGGGTAGCTTATCGGTATTAATTAGGAGAACGACGTTAATTAGGGACGAGTCGAACGGGAAACGATGGAATAGGTTACAAAGAAGCGTCTTCGGAAAAACGTTGCCTCGAGAACAGAGCGTATCTTGTACGCTGGCGTGGACGGACGAAACGACAGACAATTATGCCGAATGGAACAGGACGCCTTCAAGTAAGCGGAACTAAACGAGAACGGTACATCCTACGATCTGTTCGCAAAAAATCGCCAGTCGTTCTCACAGCAGAAACGTAATATTAAGAAAAGGATGTGCCTTTGAGTAACAAAGAAATCTTGCTGAATGAAACAATTTGGCGTTGATACTTTTGCTAAAGCTAACCTTGTATGGGTATATTCATATGACTGAATTTTGCGCTTTTAGCTTAACATGAAGATAAAATATGATATCGAGAAAAATCTTATCTGTGGATCATGATTTTTGATACTTAAGGTGAAGAACAAAGTTCGCTTTGTAAAATAAGTGATAATTCTGTGATTACAATGTAAAACTGTACATGTTGTATAATGAAGAAATAGGCGAAAACGCATTTTGTATTGATTCAATTCTGATTCAATTTTGTACGATTTCAATTTGACAAGTTTCAATTCCATAGAATTCAATTTTACAGGTTTCAATTCTATAGAATTCAATTTCACGAGGTTCAATTCTATAGAATTGAATTTCACAGGATTCAATTCCATAGAATTCAATTCCTCAAAATTCTATTCCACAGGATTCAATTTCATAGAATTCAATTTTACAGGATTCAATTCTATAGAATTCAATTTCACGAGGTTCAATTCTATAGAATTCAATTCCTCAAGATTCAATTCCATAGAATTCAATTTCACAAGATTCAATTCCATAGTATTCAATTTCACAAGATTCAATTCCATAGATTTTAATTCCACAGGATTCAATTCCACAGAATTCAATTCCACAGAATTCAATTCCACAAGATTCAATTCCATAGAATTCAATTTCACAAGAATCAATTCGATAGATTTCAATTCCACAAGATTCAATTCCATACAATTCAATTTCATAGAATTCAATTTCGCAAGATTCAATTCCGTGCAGTTCAATTCAGCAATTTTCAATTCCACAAATTTCAATTCCACGCGACACAATTTGACAAGTTTCAATTCCAAAAATAATCCACTTCACGTAATTCAATCTTACACAATTCAATTCGATGAATTTCAATTTTAGTCAATTCAAGTTTTAATTCGATTCAATTATACTTGATTCTATTCAACTTTCAATTCGACTGAATTTTAAAAAAGAATTTTATAAAATGTTCACACAATTTATATTCAACATCACTTGACATTTTTCATCAATATTCATCAAAACAACCAACAAATTATTTATCAAACATTCTATTTATACACGACCTCAAATTGTTACTAATAAATCTTAAATTGCTACTAATAAAAATATGTTCCTAATAAACCAGTTCCACACAGGGAAAAAGAATTGCATCAGACATCTTAAATTACAGAATTTAAACACATTGACTCTTGTAAATACGAAGGATAATTTTATACACTCATTTAAATTCCACCTACAATGTTTCCAATTCAAAAATAACCGTATCGAACGTCGACACTAATCTCCCGAACAAAATTCAGACATTCTACGAAGTTTCCTCGATCGAGTCAAACAACTTTCATACGGTCGACTTTTCAGCATTTTTAGCAGTTAAGAAGATAATAGCGTGTGTACACAGTGAAACCGGACACACAGTACGTATTTATATTACACTTCGCTCAGCGGCGATAAGAAATTAAAGTTTCGAACAATATCATCGCTACGAAAACATGTGACTATTTCGCAGTACAAGAATCGTACAACTGTCGTGAATCTTTTCACGGAGAAACCTGAGCGAGATGAAATAAAATCAGTCGGGTTCGGTCTACCGTAGGACGATACTAACCTTGAGGTTTAACGGAATGGATTAAGTGAAAGAGAATTTTCTGCAAGGATTTAATCCCGTGTTCGATCGAAACGAAGAGAAAGATCAGAATTTAGTTCGATAAACGAGTAAATCGAGAACAGTACCTTGTCGAGGCACTTGAGCTCCTCGATCGGGTAGACCGTTTTCTCGCAGCGGGCGCACGTCTTGCTCATCTTCTGTTTCTTCCTTCTTCTACGTCGTCTTTCTTCTCTTTCCCTCCCGTCTTAGTCGCAGTTCCGCGTATGTATCTTGGCCTCTCTTCTTCACAAAACACTGCGACGAACGTAAAGAACACGTGTAACACTAACGACACATCCGCGCGGTCTTTTGTGACGGGATGATCGCGGAAAATCGTGACGCTCGAACACGCTTACGCCGGACGATTTATTTACGACTTTCCTCGACAACAACAACAACCGTGACTGCGAGAAAAAATGCACGCCAGCGGAAAAGCTCGAACTGCACGGGTGCCACACAGCCGCACCAAACTGCACTGCCCTCTCGTTCTCGTCTAGCTACAAAAACTCCTTGACTGACAGTAATGGTGGGATACTACGTTGCTCAAACGAACTAATATTTTTCTCTCCGAAACTCTTTAACATCTACTTCCTTCCCATAAATAACTTAAACAATTTTTTTCGTGACTTCACAATACGAATAAGTTTACAATAAATTTTCTTTTTGTCGAGAATTTGATTAAAAGTTTGATGAAAACGGATTCGACTCGGTCGGTAATGCAGAGGTGTTGTTATACCACAGACGATGTGCAGAGTAGATTTACCACGCAGTGGAGATATTTGTCCCTAGAGGCGCAGTGCTAGTATTTTAAAACAGAACGCGACATTATCGGTTCAGAACAAGGAAATAGTGCCAGACGGTAGAAATTACAAACGAGTAAACGTAAAATTTTTCTGTATCGACATTTTATTCTCCTGCGTACTTATAAAATTAATATCAGCAGTCTAATTAATGGCAGTATGATTACTCAAGATTTATAGGATCATTTTTGTCCTTTGAGAAATTGGTAGACGAAGCTGAAGTCTTTCTTCGCAAATCCGTGAGACACAATGGTTCTATAGATCTGATGAGCTAAAGAACCTAGAGGAATAGCTGTCTCCGCTTTAATCGCGGCAGATTGAACCAATCCTAAATCTTTACTCATTAAGGCAGCACCGAATCCACCCTGAAAAGATTTATTCAAGTTTTCAATATAATAATTATGACTTCGATGCATTTTCAATTTATTGAGCTGTTTAAAGAAATGTGTTGTTTAAAAAAATATTATGCGTGGATATGCGGCGCGTGGGACTACTATAAATGAAAGTACCACGCGTGAAGATATAGGGCTCGTGGAAATATCACGCGTGGAGATTAAACGCGTGGACTTACTATAAATGAAAATATCATACGTCGAGATATAGGGCGCGTGGAAATACTACGCGTGGAGATGTAGGGCGCGTGGAAATACCACGCGTGGAAATACTATGCGTGGAAATATAGGGCGCGCGGAAATACCACGCGTGAAAATACTACGCGTGGAAATATCACGCGTTGGATTGCTATAAATGGAAATACCACGCGTGGAAATACTACGCGTGGAAATATAGGGCGCGCGGAAATACCACGCGTGGAAATACTACGCGCGTGGAAATACCACGCGTCCGCGCGTGGAAATACTACGCATAGAAATGTAGGGCGCGCGGAAATACCACGCGTGGAGATATAGGGCGCGTGGAAATACCACGCGTGGAAATATCACGCGTTGGATAGCTATAAATGGAAATACCACGCATGGAGATATAGGGCGCGTGGAAATACTACGCGTGGAAATACTACGCGTGGAAATGTGGGGCGCGCGGAAATACCACGCGTGGAAATACTACGCGTGGAGATATAGGGCGCGTGGAAATATCACGCGTTGGATTGCTATAAATGGAAATACCACGCGTGAAGATACACAGAGCGTGGAAATATCACGCGTGGAGATACACCGCGAGGAAATATCGCGCGTGGAACTACTATAAATGGAAATACCACGCGCGAAGATATAGGACGCCTAGAAATTTGTTTAATCGTTTAAACAAATACCTCATAATTTTTAGAGCTAGGTACATTGTCAAGTAGACCAGGGACAGGGTTATACAACTCGGAAGACCAACATCTGCCCGTGCTGGAATTAACGATGTCAGCCAGCACCTTCGGATCTAAACCCAACCTGTAACGCGATTAATTTAATGAATCGATTATACTTATCCGTATTACCATCATGTCGCATATTACTTTTGTCCGAGATGAAACGCCTCGGCTGTGCCAATCATGCTAATGGCAAGGATCATGTTGTTGCATAATTTTGCAGCTTGTCCCATTCCGACATCTCCACAGTGCACTATTCTGGATCCCATTGATTTTAAAAAGGATTCTGCGAGCTGGAAATTTTCTTTTGAGCCTCCTACCATGAATGTCAACGTGCCATCCTTCGCTGCGTTGACACCTATTAAATAAATATCAAGTTTATAATAATTTTTACTGCGACCACGGAACAAGCTTGTTCTTGTTGCAAATAAAAAATTGATGCAAATATTTTTTGACAAGGAAACAAATATATTTTAGAAAATTTTTAATAAATGAATTAGGTCCAGATAAAAGTTAGATCCAGGTTCAAGAGTTTAAAGTTGCTTCTCCTAAAGTTCTTCCATTAAATGTTTAAATTTAACTTTAATTTTGATCGAATATTACTTTGAATTTATTATTACCTCCAGACACCGGACAATCCACAAAACGAGCTCCCACCTCTCCAGCATTCTTGGCCACTGTTTGTGACACGAATGGATCTATAGTGCTGCTATCGATCAAAAGAGTATCCCTTTTTGCTGAACTGAAAGCACGAGCAACTACAGAGGAGCCTCAAGTACACGTTCTTAATCGATAATGCTATTGATAACACAGGGAGATGCTTCAAGATCGCTGTAGCAACTTGTTGTTTACCTCAACAGGCCGTTTTTAATATCGTACACATCCAGCACGTGCTGATTGGAGGGCAACATTGAAACGACCACGTCGACGTCTTTCGCTAACTCAGCAGTGTTCGAGGCTTTGTCTGCGCCAGCTTCGGTCAAATTCGACATAGCTGACTCGTTAACATCGTAGACGACCAATTTATAACCCTATTGTATCGGGACCGGATGAATTAAGTTCCATTTTAAAGGACTGCAGAGTTCATTCTAATGGTTACCTTTTTTAGGAGATTTCTCGCCATGTGGGAGCCCATGTTTCCTAGACCGATGAAGCCGACTTGGGAGAAACATCGTTTACCTGGAAATAAAGTTTTATTGGAAGCTGTTATAGGTGACAATGTTATATGTGGAAATGGGACATGTAGCGATATAGTAAGTGGGAATACTATGCGTGGTGATACAACGCGTTGGAATATTATAAATGGAAATACCACGCATGGCAATATACAGTGCGTGAAAATGTCACGCGTGGAGATACAGGGCGCGTGGAAATACCATGCATTGAGATATAGGGTGCGTGGAAGTACCACGTGTGAAGATATAGGTCGCATGGAAATACCACGCGTGGAGATATAGGGCGCGTGGAAACACCA